GGGTGCACTTTGCAACTCTTTGGGGTGCATTTCTTTGGATCCAGTGAGGTCCTCCTCCTTCTTGTAATGGCCTATGATCGGTATGTAGCCATCTGTAAACCCCTACACTATATGACCATCATGGACCAGGACACATGCAACAAAATAATGCTGGGGATCTGGCTAGGTGGGTTTTTACACACTGCAATCCTGCTGTCTTTTGTACTTCAGCTCCACTTTTGTGGCCCTAATGTGATTGATCACTACTATTGTGATGTCCACCCTTTGCTAAAGCTGGCCTGCACAGACACATCTATTGCTGGTGTTGTTGAGATAGCCAACAGTGGGACTTTTGCCCTGGGAGGCTTTGTAATTTTGTTAATGTCCTACACTGTTATCCTACTGTCCCTGAGAAAGCAGTCAGCAGAAGGCAGGCGCAAAGCTCTCTCCACTTGTGGCTCCCACGTTGCTGTGGTCATCATGTTTTTTGGTCCCTGTACTTTCACATACATGCGCCCTAATACTACCTTTACTGAGGATAAGAAGGTGGCTGTATTTTATACGAGTGTCACCCCCATGTTAAATCCCCTGATTTATACACTGAGAAATACAGAAGTAAAAAATGCTATGAAGAAACTGTGGTGTAGGGAGGTTTTATGGAAGGCTAATTACAAATAGTTTGAAGCGATGATACTTAAACCAGATTGATTTTAATTTGTTCAGTCTTGGTTAATGCAATTTTACAATGAGATAGTAGTGCAAAACCTGCAGAGTTATTGAGAGAAACAAATGTTTTCTCCTCCTCCAAATGCTTGCCTAATTTTTTTTTTTAAATGAAAGTCTATTTACTGTTTAGAACTGTGATTGGTACATACTAAGCACTCAATATCATTTGTTATATGATAAAAAAAATGTACAAAGTGATAAGCAAGGATCTAGGCTACAGTATGTTGTCATAAGTCCTCCAAAAACAGGGATGCATGTGAAAAGTAAATGTAGAAAGCTTGAAATGGGCAGGGGAAAGTGTACAGAATGAGGGAAAAAGAGGAAGAAGGAGGAGGAGGAGGAAGAGGAGGAGAAGAAGGAGGAGGAGGAGGAAGAGGAGGAGAAGAAGGAGAAGGAAAAGAAGGAGAAGGAAGAGGAGGAGATAAAACACATACTTAAAAGACAAAAGGCATATTCTCATCCTCTGGTCTTGAGGGAGAGGCCACTGAAAACACCTTTCCTTTTCTGTAGAACTCATTTTCTTTGCCCAAATAATAAGGATATTGGACAAATTGACTACCTTTTAATTATTTTAGCCTATGAATATGCTAATTTCACCACTTCAGGAGGTGGCATATGATCAAGAACCATTGGTATTGAAGGAAAAATTTGAAGTGGCATTGATGGAACTGGCAAAAAAAAACCCACAAGACTTCAGGAATTGACAGAATACCAATTGAGATGTTTCGACAAAGGGATGCCATGCTTGACACACTCACTCGTCTATGCTTAGAGATTTGGGAGACAGCTACCTGGGCAAGTGACTAGAAGAGATCCATATTTGTACCCATTCCAAAGAGAGGTGATCTCACAGAATGTGGAAATTACCAAAC